CTGAGTGAATGAGTTGGCAGGCTGCCTTCTGGGCTCCCACACGCCCCTCATTTCTCTCTTGCCACAGTGAGCCTCCCAAGGGCATCTAGGTCATTCCTTAGATCATCAGGCTGGATGCAGGCACACACTAACTGCCCTCACAAGCAAAACTCTATGCTGGTGAACCTCAAAGATCCCCATCCAGGCCCCAGGAGGCACTTACTCGCCAGGATGTGGGGGCTGAGGGCTGGCCACCTGATTCTGCTTGGCTTTCTGTTCCATTTTGGCTTCAATTTCCCGTTTCTTCTGAGCGATGAGCTCTTCCTGGTGAAGGATGTTCATGTTCATTTTTCCAGATTTAGGGGGAGCAACCCCAAACCACCGGTTAGCCTTTCCTGGGGAGGGAAAGTAGTACATCAGAAATCACCTTTGCTCCACAAACACTCCAAGAAGCTGTGACAGGCCAGATGGCAAGATTAATTCACCCATCCATTGGTTTATTTATTCAGCAGACACTTACAGAGTGCCTGCTGTGTACCAGGCCCTGTACTTACCAGGTGCTACCCAAGACAGCACAGGTCATTGCCCACGTGGGACTCACTTTGGGCTGGGAAGACAACAGGCCCATAACAAAAAAGTAACTGCACAGCCAGGTGCGGTGGCTCACACCTGTAATCCCAGCACCTTGGGAGGCTGAGACGGGTGGATGACAAGGTCAAGAGATTGAGACCATCCTGGCCAACATGGTGAAACCCCGTCTCTACTAAAAATACAAAAATGAGCTGGTGTGGTGGTGCATGCCTTTAATCCCAGCTACTTGGGAGGCTGAGGCAGGAGAATCACTTGAACCAGGGAGTCAGAGGTTGCAGTGAACTGAGATGGTACCACTGTACTCCAGCCTGGGTGACTCTGAGGCTGTCTCAAAAAAAAATGAAAAAAATTTTTTAAAGTAACTGCATAATGTGGTAAGAGCTCTGCCGGAAACTAAAAAAAGGTGAAAAATAGTAACAGAAGAGTACATATGCAGGTAGGGCAGCCAGAAAATAAACACTAGAGGAGGAGACATTTAAACCAGAAAAAGCGAATAAGAAGCCAGCACCGTGAAAAGCCAAATGGGAGACGATCTGGGCAGAGGAAGGAGCAGATGCGAAAGCCCAAGGCAGGAAGAAGCCTGGTACATCCAAGGAGGAGCAAGTGCCCAGCATGGTCAGATGGGCCTGCTCCAGGGACAGGCAGAGGTGGGGCACGTCAGAGCATATGTGCTTTATTATAAGCACTTTGGGGAGTGACGGGGAAGCACTAAGATGAAGATTGATAAGATCCATTGGATCCTTTTTTCTTTTTGAGACAGGGTCTGGCTCTGTTTCCCGGGCTGGAGTATAGTGGTGTGATTTCAGCTCACTGTAGCCTCTGCCTCCCCAGCTCAAGTGATCCTCCTACCTCAGCCTCCTGAATAGCTGGGATTACAGGCATGTATCACCTCGCTTGGCTAATGTTTAAATTTTTTCATAGAGATGAGGTCTTGCTATAGTGCCCAGGCTGGTCTCAAACAATCTTCCCACCTTGGTCTCCCAAAGTGCTGGGATTACAGGCATGAGCTATCGTGTCCCCAGTTGGCCTTTTTGAGACAAAGTCTCACTGTGTCACCCAAGCTGGAGGGCAGTGGCACCATCTCAGCTCACTGCAACCTCCATTTCCCAGGCTGAAGCGATTCTCCTGCCTCAGCCTCCCAAGTAGCTGGGATTAAAGGTGCCCATCACCATACCTGGCTAATTTTTATATTTTTAGTAGAGACACGGTTTCACTATGTTGTCCAGGCTGGTCTCGAAGTCCTGACCTCAAGTGATCTGCCCACCTCAGCCTCCCAAAGTGCTAGGATTACAGGCGTGAGCTACCGAATCCAGCGTTCTTATTGTTTTGAGACAGCATCTCAGAGTTGCCCAGGCTGGAGTGCAGTTGCGTGATAGTTCACGGCATCTTCAAACTCTTAGGCACTAGAGATTCTCCCACCTCAGCCACCTGGATGGCTGGGACTACAGGCACACTCTATCAGGCCTGGCTATTTTATTTTTTGTAGAGACAGGTTCTTGCTATGTTGCCAAGGTAGTCTTGAACTCCTGTCCTCAAGGGAGCTTCCCATGTAAGCCTCCCAAAGTGCTGGGATTTTAGGTGTGGATCACCACATCTGGCCAATATCCACAGGGTCTTTCTATTTTCATCCTGGCTATTAGGTAATCATTCTGGCCAGAAAATGCACAGGCAGCAAGACCAGGGAGGCTCACTGGTTCCAAGCAAAAAACAATGATGTCTTCAGACTAGGGTAACAGCATGGAGACAGGGAAGACACCTCAGAGGTTCCCCATGGGACTCAGAATAAAATCCAAATTCTTTTTTTTTTTTTTTTTTTTTTTTTTTTTTTTTTTTTTTTTTGAGACGGAGTTTCGCTCTTGTTACCCAGGCTGGAGTGCAATGGCCCAATCTCAGCTCACTGCAACCCCTGCCTCCTGGGTTCAGGCAATTCCCCTGCCTCAGCCTCCTGAGTAGCTGGGATTACAGGTGTGTGCCACCATGCCCAGCTAATTTTTTGTATTTTTAGTAGAGACGGGATGTCACCATGTTGACCAGGATGGTCTCGATCTCTTGACCTCATGATCCACCCGCCTCGGCCTCCCAAAGTGCTAGGATTAGAGGCTTGAGCCACCGCGCCCGGCCTAAAATCCAAATTCTTAAAGTCTGAGCCAGGCACGGTGACTCACGCCTGTAACCCCAGCAATCTGGGAGAATGAAGAAGGCAGATTACTTGAGGTCAGGAGTTTGAGACTAGCCTGGTCAACATGGTAAAACCCCATCTCTACTAAAAATACAAAAAATTTGGCGGATGCAGTGGCAAGCGCCTGTAATCCCAGCTACTTAAGAGGCTGAGGCAGGAGAATGGCTTGACCCGGGGAGGCAGAGGTTGGAG